AGTGCAGAAGCTCTGGGTTCAACCTCCAGTACCACCAAAAATAAAAATAAAATTTCCCTGCTGACTCTACAAGTGAGAGATGCTGAAAATTTACCCACACATTGCATTGAAAATACTTCTTTTTTCTGTATTGGGGATGGAACCTGGGGCAGCCGACCACGGAGCTTCATTCCCAGCCCTTTGCTTTATTCATTGTGAGGCAGGGTCTCATGAGTTGCCAAGTTGGCTTCCAACCTATAAAATCCAATATTGCTTACAGATCTGTTTAAACAGGGTAGTTAGGGCTTTGGGGGCAGAGGTACTGTAAGTGTAACTCAGTGGGAGAGTGCTTGCTCGTGAGCACAGGGTTCTGGCACCGAAAAACTCAGATAAGACTGACAGGTGAGCTCACATTTGATTTCTCTAACTTAACTAGTTAGGGCCAGCCAATTTACACATCTGTAAAGGTAGCTTGAAGGAAACTATTAGGACAAAATAAAATTTTTTCTGTTAAGAACACATCCAGATGACTACAGTATGAATACTGTGAAAAATGTTAACTAGTTTTCATGTTTGCAACTTCATTTCATGATTCTTTATTAAACTGACTACATGAATTCCAACTGCTCACCGAGAAAGTTTTATGAGTTTAGAAAAAGCTTCCCCCCACCCCAAACAGGGTCTCACTGTGACATTCAGGCTGACCTTGAAGTCACTATGTAGCCCAGGCTGGTGGTCCTGCCTCAGCCACTCCCAAGCGCTGGGATCTCAGGCATGCACCAACCACGCCTGGTTTAGAAAAAGCTTTTGATACATGTTGCTATTTGCACAAGAGTGCTAGTTTATAAAAGTACAAAAATTATGTATGGACATGGGAGACACAGACTGCACAGTTAAATTTGCATTGGTAAGAAGAATGATTTAAAAAGGCTTTATAAGTGAGGTTCCAAACTGCACAAATTGTTTTGTTTCTGGCTTTTCTAGGCAGGGCCTCATGATTATGGAGCCCAGGCTAGCCTCAGACTCTTCCAACCCTTCTGTCTTGGCCTCCTGAGTGCTGGGATTACAGGTGTGTGCCACCACTCCTGGCCTAGAGTTTGCTTATTTCTCTGTCTGTTTATTTATTTTAGTACCAGGAATCAAACTCTCAGTGCTGCGCCACTGAGTCCCATTCCCGGCCCAAGAATATTTATGGGGGGGCTACCAGGGATGGAACTCAGGACCTTGCGCTTGGGAGGCAGGAGGCAGGCACCGTACCACTGAGCTAAATCCCCGGCCTGCCGAGAGTATATTTTTAAGACTGAATTAAGAGCTGCCAAATTTAAAAATTGAGATTACATAAAGGCCACAATTCTACATCCCTGTGAAGGGGTCTCTGAGTGGCCCGGGTGACTTGGCTTGAGCCTCCCTCCCGCCGCTGCTCATGCTGGCCATGTGCTGCGTGTCCGCTGTGGCCAAATGGGGCTCTTGGGTGGGGGTCGTGCTGTCTCAGTTCCATCGGGAAGGCAGTGAGCCACTCGCCCTACTCCGTCACCTATAGAGCGTCTGTGCAGTTGTAAAAACTCGTCCCACAAGTCTGTTCTTGTTGTAGACCTGAGCGATGTCTGAGAATTCCAGCGACAGCGACTCTTCCTGCGGCTGGACCATCATCAGTCGTGAGGTAGGCCGCCTCCCGAGTCCGGTCACAGCCATGTGCCTCAGTGACCGATGGTTCTGATGTGGCTACGCAGAGGCTCTGTTGTCTGTGTCTTGGACACCTTCCCACCAACACAAGCGGTGCTGCTGGCAGCTCTTCCTGGGCAGAGACTTCCACAGCCTTCACATAGCTTTCCTGGGTCCCGCCCGAGATGCCAGGCAAATGCACATGAAGCTTACTGTTGGGCAGGCTCTGGGCCTTAGCTATGTTCTCATGTAATTAAACACCCAATGAGAAATAGACATTTTATTCTCTTCATGGTCATCCTCCTGCCTCAGCCTCCCAAGTGCTGGGATTACAGGTACATGCCACCATACCTGGCCCATCCTTGTTTTATAGCTGAGAAAAATATGAAAGGTTAAGCAGTTTGGCCGAGATCATGTAACTAGAAGATACCTGAGCTGGTTTTGAGAAGACTGAGAGATGAAGCTGGTCCTCTGGGGCCTTGACAGGCAGGGCTGTCAGTGAATTTTACAGCAGGAGAATGATGGGTTCGGTGATTGTACATGGCTAGGGTGTAATAAGCATGGGTTTGTTTTTCCAACTGGTGTTTTCCCATTTTTGAGAAGGATCTCCTAAGTTTCTCTTTTTTTTTTTTATTGATAAAAATTTTAATGTTTTCCCACTTTCTGGCCTGATGTCGGCTCTGCAGCTCAGCCGGGCGTTGAACTGTCTGTAGCCCAGGCTGGCTGCAGATGTGTGGTCTTCCTGCCTCAGCCTCCCAGGGTGTTGGGATTACAGATGTGTGCCAGTATGCCTGTTTATAGGCAGCCTTGAAGTCCTTTGTTTAGGATATTCCCTGTAGAACTCAAAGGACACGCCTCCAAGAATACTTTTAATTTTTACTGTTTTATGTATATCAGGAGAACTCAGATCTTGATTTTATGATTTGGTAGAAAAAGTGTAGATAGGTGGTGGAGGGGACAGAATCACTCAGGTTAACTTTCTTCTGCTAATCAGGACAGTGAAATTGTAAGATCCACTGTTTCTTGAGAAGCCTGGCATCAACGCACCCATTCAGGACCCACTGTCAGGAGCTGTCAGGAGCTGTCCTCCTCCCATTCCTATTCCCCAATAAATTTTCCTACTCTTAGCCTCCAAAAAAAAGACTGACACCCAAGTGGGAAGGGTAATTTTAATAACAAGTAAAGTTTTATAAGAAAAGCATTCTATTTTTTTTGTTGTTGTTGTTAAATTCTTTAATTGGTACATTTTAGGTATACAGCACAATTACATTTCTCATTGGGAATTGTACCTTTACATGATGCATCTTGGTTCTTTTTCCCCATTCCTAGGCCTCCCTTCACCCCCTCCACCCTTCCCTATTTACAAAGACTTTATTTCCATTTTTTCCTTTTCTCATCATTTTTCCTTTCCCTTC